GAGTAATTAACATCTCATCCACTTCTGAAATTCCATAGAATAATAGAATATCAGTCTTCACATGATTGCTTTGTTTATTCCCTTGATCAACTATCTCGTCCTTCACGAGTTCTTCTTTAGCATCCATGTGAGAATCATAATTATTATGTAGATTCTCTTGACCAATCTCTTCCTTCATGGATTCTTCATTAGAACTTGTATTTTCATCAATCACAACACGATTGTTTTCTCCTCGTGGAACCCGAAGCGCTTCCTCTCTAGTTTTCTGTTGATATTTAATCTTATTGATTAATACCTGCATCTGATGTTCAAAATCAATTCCACTCTGTATATCTTTAGTTGATTTTTCTCTTCTGCCTCTTTGTTGATTTGTGTTGTTGTTGCCGTTTCTGATCTCGGTTGTCAACAACGTCATCTGATTGGTCAAAGCAGTAAGAGCCGTGGTAAGAGTCGTGGTAATAGTCGACGCAAAACCCTCGAAATCTGCTTTGGTAACCGGTTGATCTCCCATGGCCTATCAAGCTTCAAAAAGAGACAGGAGAAAGCCTGCTCTGATACCACTTGACGCAGTCGGAAAACCCTAGGTTAAGCAAGCGCTAAACCTAGATTGAAATCAAGTTCGCTAGCGACGAACTTAATGATAAAACTCTGGAATCCACCAGAAAAGGGTCTGGAATCCACCAGGAAAAGAGAAAGCTCTCTGTTCTTATTAATTAGAATCAAAAACATGTCCTGTAAATAACTTAGGATCTCTATATATATAGAGAATAAAACCAAAACATAAAATAGAAAACCCTAAACAAAATAGAAAACGTGAAATAAGTAAATATTAAAAGAAAAGGTAAATTCCCTAAATTTCTCCTACATCACATAATACATTATAAATATGATATTATATATAAAAGTTATTAAATATTAATATAAAACTAAAAAATATGAAATTATAAACAAAAACTAGAGAAAATATTTATTTATATTTATATTGAACAATATATGAATATTTATAACTATATATATAAATAAAACTCTAACTGAAATTGAAAAAATACATTAAACAAGATCTATGTAATTTTAGGCGGTCAAGGCGGTTATCTAGGCGTCGAATGAGAGCCTAGCGCCTAGTCGGGGCCTAGGCGACCGCCTAGACCGCTTTTTAGAACACTGATAAATCCTAAAATACAAACAGCTTTCCAGTTAAACAAAAAAACCATATCGATAGTTAGTATAGGATTAAAAAACTGGTATTGAAATAAAATCTTTCCTTCATGATTGTTAAAATTGCAATCACAAATTTTGGATATTAGTTCCCTATTAAAAACAACATAACATCAAAAATATTTAAACCAAGTCTCATGATGATCATATGAACTTCAACTTCTTCAGCCTAATACACGAGGATCTTGGGCTGGACTATTCGGGTCATTGAGAGGATTTTGGTAGCGATCCATTAAGTCGGAATTAAACCAATTTCCATTTTTAAAGTTCAAACTCGAGGAAATAAACTAATTATAGAATTAATTAGTTTACGTACTTTCCATATTTGATGGGTTGTTTCGAATAAAATCATTTAAAGTAAGATCCTTGAAACGATTACAAAAGTTTAAATTTTGAAATTTTTAGGAAAAAAAATCAAATCATTAATTAGTTTATGTAATCTACGTTTTTTATTGGTTGTTTCGAATATTAGCATCGACGTTTAATTTTCTTATAAATTTATATAAATTTACGAATATTGACTTTACAAATTAGTTTATGTAATCTACAAGTTTTTACGATAGTTTTCCATAATATATTCTATCGAAATAAATCATATATCATTCAAAAAATTCTTACCTACAGATTGCTATCCTTAAAAATGAAGCATTTTTTTTCAAAAAATCTTCTATCAATTTTTTTTTTTCCTTAAATGCATTAACCCTAAAATATATTAGCCGACTTTCTTGATACTATAAATATAGGGTTTGTTTGCAAGTTTATCACCCACTATTCATCTCTTCTTTTCCTTTCTATAGCTTAGCTTTATCGTTCTTATTTTCAAAGATGTCTGCAAATCTTGGTTTCACAAGTCTTGCTGACGTTAGACCATGGAGATGATTCTCGCCGATGAATCTGTAAGCATATAGATTCACATATATTTATTTGTTTACATGGTTTTCAATCTTAATGTTTTCTTTCTAACAAATTCTCTTTTAACATTTGTAGGGCACTTTGATTCAAGAAGCAACAGTTCAGTAAGCTAAAGAGGTTCATGGTATGGTTTGCATAATTAGATTGATTTCCCACTCAGGCAAACATTTATACAAAACCCATACATTCCATATCAAATTCTTGCCTAACACAAAAATGACTTAACTCCGTAATTACTTTGAATCTGAAGATTCCTCTTACATTATCATGCAATCAAAACAGTTAGATGATACTGTTGGTAAGATTGTTTTTATATTAATGTTTTCTATTAGTAAAATTGCCAAAGCATCATATATGACTATAATTGATTTTAGTATTCCTAATCATTTAAAAAAAAAAACAGATGTCTTGGGCGTGGTAATAGATGTAGAAAAAAAAAATACAAGATAATATGAAACTGATTTCTCCATATTCTACAGCTCAAAATGAAACTGATGATGAAATCCGAGAGGTACTCATCAACTAATAAGCTGCTTGATCCAAGGTAAGTATATTGAATATTGGTAAGACATGCATTGTTGATGACCAAACTAAATCTACAAACAGGAATGATCGACTATGCTGTCGTGCAATTGGAATTTTTAGTATTCTAATAGGGTTAATTAATTTGCAACAAATATGTAGATACTCCATGTCTGACGAATCTATTTATGAAGGTAACTATCACATTATTCCAGTTACTATCTACTTAGGATTTTAGTATTCTAATACAGATAATTAATTTGCAACAGATATGTAGGTACACTGGCCATGTGTGATGAATCTAGATGGATGTTCAAGAATTTATTATAATCCTATATTCCAAGGATTGGAAAATAAATAAATCATGTAAGTTTTGAATTTAATAACCATATATACTTGGAGAAATTCTATTTATGAATGTTTGCTTTAAAATGAATGATGTTTACAGATCGGATTTTGTTGGACGGTATTACCTCAAGTACGAAATGGAACCTATTGAGGAAGATGAAAGTTCATTTCGTTTAGTTTTCTAAAAAAACTTAGTTTACCTATGTTCGGTTTCCTACTTCCTAAAACGATGAATTATTTATGTTTTGTATATTTGTTCTATAATTTGGGATCATTGTGATATATATTATATGATCATAACAACCTTTAACTTAGTCAAATATAAATTGTAAATACATAGATTAGCTTTGCAATCGAATTTTAAATAGTTAAAACCAAATATTTATCATAATTACACATATATTTACAGTTAGAAAAAATGGGCCAAATAAATGGCTTTACTACAAGCCCATCAAATCTAGCCCAAAACACATTTACTAAAAATAATGAATCACTAGATTTAAAAGTTTTAATATGGTAACAAACTTTGATAGTTCACATATCCGAATCAATTTTATTTTACAAAACTGAAGTTCAATATTTACAAAATTAACATGTTTAATATATTTACAAGCATTTTAAAGTATAGATAGTCGAAAATAGTCGAACTATTATTACTTTGACACATAAAATAAATTGTTTATATAGCACTACTTTACATCAATCTAACCTATAATATATTTACATCTAATACTATTTTTCTCTACTCTTCAGTTTCAAACTCCAAACTGTCTTATGAATCACAACTTTTTTTTTTTTTTTTTGACAGCGAATCACAACTTTATATAGTAACATATAAACAAAGATACACTTTTATGTGTACATTATAATATACACTACAATATATATCACAAACAACAAAATAATCTAAATTTAATTACATATTATTATAACAAATTTCTTAAAATATGAAACCCCGCACGTATGTGCGGGTCATGATCTAGTACGTTTTTAAAAATTAAAACCACAACATGAAAGAATATTAAAAAATATATATTAGTATGATCATGAAAAGGAAAAAGGAAAAAAAAAAAGAGAATAAGAGAGTTGGTAGTTTTCCGCAAAAAAAATCCAAAGGAAATAAATAAGGCTTATTTCATTAGACTCTTTACTCTCTTTTTTTTCTTCCATCTCAAAATTTTCTTTTTTTTTTCCTCCGTATCAAAAAAAAAAAGAGAATAAGGGAGTGGTAGTTTCCTTTTTTTCATTCGACTCTTTAACTAAGTAAATAAGGCTTATTTCATTCGACACTTTAGACCTAATTTTCATCCGTCTCAAAATTTCCTTTTTCGCTCTCTCCGTTGAAGTTCGAAATCGTTAACTCCAATAAAAGATCTAGATTCTACATACGTTTGATATCTCATACTCCCTCCGTTTTAGTTTAGTTGTCGTTTTAGGATTTAAATTTTGTTTCATAATAGTTGTCGTTTTAGGTTTTCAATGCAAATGTTTGGTGAAAATTCCAGTTTTATCCCTACTGTTTTAATGTTTTGGCCAATGAAATTTTTTCTAAAATATATTAATAAAGGGTAAAACAGAAAATTTAATGATTTTCTTAATCTGTGTGAAAAAACTTTAAACGACAACTAAAACGAAACGGAGGGAGTAATAGATTACAAGCCTCCACAGAGATACTCACACGGAAGAAATTTAGGAGTTGAAAGAGAGCAAGATTTTGCAGCAGATATAGTTACGAGAAGACCTTATCTGCCTTACGACAATGGAATGAAGAAAAGTCCTAATAAGTTGTCAAGGAACCTAGTTTGGACGTCAAAAGATTATAAATCACGATAGGGCAACAAGCCAAGGAAGAATGCAGCTAATGGATTAACCAAACCACCAGTTTTAGGCACATGATCAAATCAGCCGAGGAAGAATGCTGCGTTTGGGCCAAGGAGTGTGTGTAAGTATTGGAAAGATGGAAACTGCAAAAGGGGCAAGCAATGCCAGTTCTTACACCCTTGGTCTTGTTTCCCTGGATTGGTTATGGTAGCTGCTCTCGAAGGAAACAAGAAGGAACTAAAGGGGATCACGCTTACTCAGGGCTCAGATAAACTCTTTTCAGTCAGTAGTGATGGTACATTGCGTATTTGGGACTGCAATTCTGGTTAGGCAGAAGCAGGGTCTCTAATTAGTGAAGGCCGATGGGTTTTCCTTGGCTTGCTAAACGCTGTAAAGGCTTTTAATGTTCAAACCAATAAAGATTTACATCTTCAAGGGGTGGTTGCTCAGGTGCATGCAAACACTGTTGCAAACGGAATGCTTTTTCTGGAACAAGTTATGGTAGTATATTAGTATGGAAAGCTACAGACTCTGAGTCTGATCCATTCAAATACTTGACATCTCTCCAGGGACGACATCATAGTGGTGAAGTCACTTGTTTTATTGTTGGAGGGCAACTACTATACTCTGGTTATGTCGATAGAACAATAAAGGTGTGGGATCTCAACACCCTGCAATGTATAATGACCCTGAAGCAACATACCGGCACTGTCACATCATTCTTATGTTGGGACAAATGTCTGATATCGTCTTCCTTGGATGGGACCATAAAAGTTTCGGCTTGTTCTGAAAATGGAAGCTTGAATGTTGTTCAAACTCGCAAAGAGGAACAGAGTGTTCATGCTCTTTGTGGGATGCACGATGCAGAGGCCAAACCGATCATATTCTGCTCTTACCAAAACAGAACGGTTGCCATTTTCGACCTACCATCTTTTAAAGAAAGAGGAAAGATGTTCTCTACGCACACGATCGGCACACTTACAATTGGTCCTGAAGGATTGCTATTCAGTGGAGACAAGAGTGGGAACTTGTGTGTATGGAGCTTAGCTTCTAGCACCAAATTTTAGTCGTTTAACAATTTTTGACTAAAGAATTTTGATTTAATTTGTACATACATTGGTAGTTGATATGATGAGTTAAAAGAGTTTTTTTTTCTGTATATATATATATATATATATATATATATATATATATATATATATATATCATATTATATAAAGTATGGTTTTCAAAGTTAGTAACTCATATGATCGCGCCACGTATCAAGTCTATCGATAAGATTTTGACATGTGTCAAAAATATTTAAATTTTCTACTTAAAAAATAGGAAAAATAAAAAAAGAAACATATTTACATATACTAATTTTAAATAAAAAAAGAAACATATTTACATATACTAAAAAAAATTGCTTAATCAAAAAGGAAAACTAATAATTTTCAGTGTTTGTTTTCCAATTTGTTTTGTGGATTTCTATTTTAAATTAATTATGTGTATTTATTTTGTTAACTAATAATATTAACTAAGATATAGATTTGATATATATATTTAGTATATTGATATAAAATTGTTTTATCGCACATCCATTTAAAATGAAGTGTGTAAAATTAAAATCCAGTTTATTATGATGAAATATATAATTAAATTGTATTGCAAAATAGAATGGGTAAGATTGAAATTTGGTTTAAGAAAATATTAAAATATATATAGAAAAAGTGTATGGATTACTATTTAGAATTCAAATATCATCAACAAGATGAAGTGTGTAGAATTAAAATCCTGTTTATTGGGATGAAATAGATAATTAAAATGTATAGCATAATATAATGTGCAAGATTGAAATTTTGTTACAACAAAAAATATTAAATTAAATATTAGAAAAATGTGTGAAATACTATTTACTATTCAAAATTCAAATGTCATCAATAAAAAAATCATATTTATATCTTATCCCGCCTATTTAGGCGGTCCTAATATCATTCACCGCCTAGTGGAACTTTCCAATTAAAAAAAAAAAGTCCACATAGAGGAGAAAAAAAAAATGTTAGTAATTCTTTCATTTTGTTTGTTAAAAAACGTAAATCTAGAATTTGCTTTGCTAATTAAAATTGCAAGTTTTGAGATTTGATACACTACTCCAAAATTAGCACAAATTGTCTGTTCAAGAACCCAAGTTTAGGTCTAGATAGCTAAATTTACAATCACACTCTACAAATACTTTCCAACTACTTCAATCTATATAAGTTTATTTATGATTTTTTCTTTTTTCGCTGGATAAATACTATTGAAAACATGTATCACTATATCTGTTTATGTCAGAAATTAATATCACATCAAAGAGTTGTATTGAAAAATTACAAGTATCACTATATCTATTTTAAGATCCTCCACTATTGTTAATGAGAAAAAACAAAAAATCCTCTAAATTTTCGTTAACAAAATTTATTTTTCTGTCTAAACAAACTTATTGTTGTTAATTTCATTGACGAACTTATAGTAAAAAAAATGAATTAAATTTTTTGTTGAGGTTTAATATGAATTTAGTGATATTTGAAAGTTTATATTTTATTTGTAATACATCTAAAGAAAATTTATTGAATATCAGAAATAGCATTTAACAAACCATCGAAATTGAATTCTCCGGGAACTGAACCGGTGGAATTGGTAATCTCCGAAAACTAAACCGGCAGACAACCCAGTAACCAAAGTCGGCGGTAAAAAGAAAAATCGAATGGGCCGTGGGCTTCAATTAACATTATCAGCCCATTAAATAACTCTATAAATAACCCTAAAGTTAGTACCTCTTTCACATCAATTTCAATCTTGTGTTGTGTCCTCTCGCATCCATTACGAAACAACAACTCTTCGCGTCTCTCTCTCTCGCTCGAATCTACTAATTTGTTTAATTACTCTTTGTCTACTAATTAATTCTCTGCAGGATCTTCTTATCTGTTTCGTATTATCGTATATATATAGATCGCAATCGTCTTTTTGTTTTCGTTTTTCTCTGTGTTTTTGTTGTATAATGGATTCAGGTATTAACACTTCTTCACACTTCAAACCTCAAGTTCGATGCCCACTTCAACAAAACTTCCTCCCCAAGAAAACTTCCAAAGAAAACGTAAGTGTTTTTTTTGCTTATGAATTAGGGTTTCGATTTTTGGGCTCTGTTTTTAACAATTAGGGTTTCGTTTTTTTATCTTTTTAGAACATCAATTTTAGTGTTTTATACAATTGGTGATTCTCGAATTGTTGGTTCTGTCATAAAAATCGTTTCTTTTGGTTTTTGTCATAAAAATTGTTTATTTTAGTTTTGTCATAAAAATCGTTTCTTTTTGTGATTTTGAATGAATTTGTTGTACTGATTGATTTTCTTATGTATTTCCAACAGCCTGAGAGATTTATACCAAACAGATCAGCCATGGTCAGAATCTGGACAGCATTTAGCAAGTGGTGGCAATGACAATGTTGTTAACGTATGGGACTGTTCTACGGGGCGGTCTTTGCATAGGTTTGAGGAACACACATCTGCGGTTAAAGCTCTGGCTTGGTGCCCTTTTCAATCAGGTTTACTTGCAACTGGTGGTGGTGGAGAAGATAGGACGATAAAGTTCTGGAATACTCGAACAGGAGCTTGCTTGAATTCGGTAGACACTGGCTCACAAGTTTGTTCTTTGATATGGAGCAACAAGGAAAGAGAGTTGCTTAGCTCACATGGGTTTACTCAGAACCAGCTTACACTTTGGAAGTACCCATCCATGGTGAAAATGGCTGAGCTCAATGGTCATACATCACGCGTTCTATATATGTCACAGAGTCCGGATGGTTGTACTGTAGCTTCAGCAGCAGGAGACGAGACTCTGAGGCTTTGGAATGTTTTTGGAATACCAGAGGATGCTAAAAAAGCTGCTCCAAAAGCAGTTCCCCAACCATTTTCTAATGTAAATCGTATTCGTTGAAACTGTTGTGAAGCCATTGTATTTGTATGTGCTATTTTCTAATGTTTATTTTTCTAGGATTCATTCTTCATCAACTGTATTGATTATCCAAGTGCATATTGATTGTATTTATCTAATATATAATTTTTTTGTTTTTTACATGTCAGATGATACAACACACTTTCTAATATAAGCCAGTTTTATAATCTTCTGTAAGTTTTAGTAACTTAGCTTGCACCATTCTCATAAGTCATAACTATATGTGTTACTTAGAAGGAAAAAAAAACAAACAGAAATAGACAAACAGATTTTTCATACTAAACTTAAAACCAAAATAATGCACTCACAAAACTAAATTCTATATTTAGAATCATAAAATCTAAAACTTTTATATACATAATAAGTTAGATGCCAACAATGAAAAATAACATATTACAGAAAAAAATTATGCGTTCCATAACTGTTAAATGAAGGGTAAAATCGTTAACAAAACCAAGTGTCGTAAGCTCAACTAGTAAAGACCCTAGGCGAAACTTAGAGGTCGCCGGTTCGAGTAACGCTTGGGACGAAACTCATATTACATGCTGTGGTTTCGGGCCTGAGGGATTACGGGCTTTGGTCCAGAATCTCCTGGTATTAAAAAAAAAAATCGTTAAGAAAATATTTAAATCACATCATTGTTTTTTTTACTTAAATATTTAAAGGCGGGTGGATTATTCGAAACATCGATGGTTATGCTCAATGTTGGGGATCTGCAAATTTACATTTGGCTCGTTCCCCACTTGAGGCTGAGGGGAAAGCTTTGCTTTTTGCTTTACAACAAGTTTGGTCCAGGGGATACACCACAGTTATGTTTGAAGGAGATTGTGAGATTTTAGTTAACACTGTTAATAATGTCTCCAATGATATTGCTATTGATGGACTTTGTCGGGACATCCAATTCTGGAAAACGAAGTTTCGGGATATTTGTTTTACATATGCAAACCGTTTGTGTAATCGTGTAGCTCACTTACTTGCTAAAAATGGTTGTTTAGATGTGAATTATTTCTCAGGTTGTATAACTCCACCTATTTGGTTGGCAGAACAGTTGTATTTTGATCGTATTAATTCAATATAAGTGATCTTTTGCTGAAAAAAAAAAAAAAAAATCTTTTGCACTAAGTACAAACACTCTTTAACTTACAATCTTGTGAGAGATTTAAGACAATGAGCAAGAAGATGAGAACAATATGCATATCAAGCTAATTAAGGCAACAAATATTAGATATATATATATATATATATATATATATATAAGACTCTACTCATAGTAATTAGAGCATCCACATTAGTGATACTATTAAGAGTGTCTTAACTACAAATCATATCATATATATAAAAGTTGGCTAACTCTCTCCATATGAGTGTCACATCATCACATAAGAAAATGACATGTGTCATTCTAAATTATTTAAATAAAAAGATTAGCAAAATTAATTGAGAAAAAACCAAAAGTCTTTTGTTGTGTTAAATTCTCCACTAATCTCACTCTTAATTGTTTTTTTTAAAAAACTAAAAGATTTTTAAAAACTAAAAGATAAAGTAAAAAATCATACTAATGTATCAAGCACTACTTTCATTCTACTCTTCTTATATTATTAAATTTTTTTTATCGATGGTCATTACATGATAATGGCTAAAAAATTACTTGTGTTGTAGTTTATATATTTGCTACCTAACTTCATGTTACGTTTTGTGAATATGACATTCTCTCTTTTTATTTTTGTGCGTTATGATAAGTTGGTAACATTGACACACAATTTTTTTTACTTAGTGGTCCTTTGAGACGTTAGACATACCAAGAAATTAAAAACACGAGACTCTCTCTTATATGGTTGTATGCAAGGAGAGAGATCTAAAATGTTGACTTAGTACTAGCATATCATGATGTGGTCGGCGTACTCGATGACGAGAAAGGAAATAGAACAAAGAATTGTTTGTTTAGAATTAAGTTAGGCAAGTTTCAAACCACATAAGCAACATAATTACATATCATTGTATCAATATATCATATATTATTGTTGTATGTATTCATGATAATGAAAGATTAGGATCGTAGGTATATAAATAATCAGATTTATACATAAAAAACGTGGAACTAATATTTCGAGTCAAAAATAAATCTAATCATAAAAATTATAACTATAGAAAATAGATATGACTTTATTAATTACATAATAACACACACACAAAATAACATAAAACGTAACAAAAACCATAATCATATTTTTTCTGCAATTTTTAAAACAATGGTATTCATCTAGTTATTATAAAAGTAATACTACTTTAATCTAAAGACCATCATTAACTTTGTATTAGTTTTTCTCCTTCCATTAGTGATCCTTAAATGGGTGTCTTTAAAATTAAAAAATTAACTTGATCTTTCAACCTTTTCACAATTACTAAGGCACACATCGACAAATAAGAGGCATACTTGTTTATAATCGTTGCAGAGTGAAAGAACTTGGGATTCGCTAGCATCAGGCACATTCCTCGCATAGTGACCAAGTACTGATTCCATCATTGGCGGCACAAATTGTTTCCCTATGTGTGGTTGGTCTTCAGCTTTGACTTAATAGGTTTCTATCAAGTTAAGTGATTCCCTCTTAACCGATCTGTATAGCAAAGAATCACAATATAAATTCTTCCAGTTTTTCAAACAGAGGCATCTAGAAACTGTATCTTTGGTGCATAAAGCCATCCAAACCTTAAAGAGTTTTTACAAAAGAACTAGAGAAACAGAACTATAACTATTTTCATAAAGGCAATCAAGAAGTAGATACTGAGATTCTCCAATCTCACAATTCAAAACATTTCTATTGAAAATGTAAACATGCTAATCTTTTTTTCATAAAGTATGGGACAAAACAGTGGTAAGATTGGAACCGGCACACTCGTTTATCTAATTCACCTAAACCATCGAAGAGACTTGATTAGTGAGAGGGGTCTTTAAACTCTAGTCCCAAGACAAATCCAGAGTGCCCCCAATACATTTTCATAGCTCCTCTTTAAACATTGAGATCTCAGTAAACTGTAAGATTTTGTTGCTGAGCTACCAAAGCTATAATTCACTGCCCAACTCCTAGGCTAGTTACAATATTACTGCACTAGACTTAGCAAGAAAACCTTGTCATAACCCATCACATTTCAAGACTCAGGTAATATATCAAGAACTATCGGTTCCAATAGCCAATGTTTGGAAATATATATAAGCAATCTAGAGTCTACACATGAACCAAATGAAATAGAGAATTTGTAATAAAATAGATTGAGTTATGAGCATCCATGGTTGATGGTACCATTTCTAGTTCCTGGGCCATCAAGATACAAGGTCCACACCATGTAGCATAAAAATCAACAATCAACGACATTCAAACCTTGTGAGGATCTGATTCTGCTTCGATCATATTACCAACCTGGAGAAAGAGAGACGATGAAATCTCAACAGTAAAATAGCTCTGATTGGCATGCAAATAACTCACATCTAGACTCAATCCCATGACACAAGATTCAATCTTTTCAATAACATACACCCATAAAACATGGAGCAGAGGAAAAACTTACCAAGTGATAATCAGCGTAAGTAGAGAAAATGGATTAACACAAATCCAATTAACACATATCGACAAAGTTTGTGTTTAAATTTTAAGACACTATCTTAATTTGTCTCTATGGTTAAATTATTAATTACAGTAGAACCTCTATAAATTAATACTCTATAAATTAATAACCTCTCTAAATTAATAAATTCTTCCGGTCCCGAGTTGGGACCAGTGTAAAATATGACATAAATCGATAAATTAATAAGATAATAATTTTTTTGAAAATCCCATGTAAACATATGGTCCCATCTATATCATAAATTAATAATTGTATAAACTTATCAATATATATATATATATGTATATTTAACTTAATATATATATATATATATATATATATATATATATGATATAAATTTATATATGTCATATATGAATTACTATGATATATATTTAAAATATTATATGTAAAACAATTAATGAAATATGACTCTATTATTCGAAAAAATTTTGTGTTATTTTTTAAACTTAATAATTGCTTCTCTACTTGTAATTAGTTTTTAAAACATATTCTTTATAGAGAAAAAATTTATTTTTAGATAAATTTTTTTTAAGAAATTACAAAATTAGTAAAATCTCTCTATAAATTAATAATTATTAATTTATCGATAAATTAATACCTCTCTAAATTAATAAAATTTCTTGGTCCCAACATTATTAATTTATAGAGGTTTTACTGTATAGTTATAATATTGATATATCTCATAATTTCCCTTTAAAATTTAAATACGGATCGGAGCAGTTTTGGGACAGCCCTAGGTTTTAGGTTTTAGCATCACCAAAAATGAGACGCTTCAGAAACCAACTCAACAAGACAAGCAAGAAAATTGAAAAATCATAAGAACCCTAATCAGAATAATGGCCACAGAGTCCATGAATGCAGCCACCGTCAATGACGACGGCGACAACAACTCCGACCGTTTCATATTCTCCACACCTCTCTCCTCACGTGGTTCAACCAAACGTGACGCCATCTCCGTCGAGGATTACGACCGTGATCGCCACCTTTATCTCCGGTTTCACTCTCCTCAAACTCCATACAAATCCGAATTCTCAAAGTACATAGATCTTGATCAATACAACGACGAAGACGATGATCTCAGAATCCTTTGTTTCACACCAATCTCTATAGAAAAGGGTCAGTCCTATTCGCGACGACGACGCTCTTTTGACTGCGAGATATGTGTTGAACGCAAACCAAAGATTGAATCTTATCGAATCAATGGATGCTCTCACTCTTATTGCAACGATTGTGTCTCAAAATATATAGCTGCTAAGTTACAAGACAACATTCTCTCAATCAAATGCCCTGTTTTTGGTTGCTCGGGGCAGCTAGAACCCGATAAATGCCGTCAAATCCTGCCAAGAGAGGTCTTTGATCGGTGGGGAGACGCTCTTTGCGAGGCGCTGGTTATACGTTCTAAGAGATTCTACTGTCCATATAAGGATTGCTCTGCTTTGCTCTTCTTGGACGAGAGTGAAGTGAAGATGACGGAATCGGAGTGTCCTCATTGCCATAGAATGGTGTGTGTAGAGTGTGGGACTAAGTGGCATCCGGAGATTACTTGCGAGGAGTTTCAGAAGCTAGCCGAGAACGAAAGAGAACGAGGTGATATATTGTTGAAGAATATGGCAGAGAGTAAGAAGTGGAGAAGATGTCCTTCTTGCAAATTCTACATTGAAAAATCTGAGGGTTGCTTATACATGAAGTGCAGGTATCTTCTTCGCCGTCTTTTTCGTTTTCTTTGTGATACAAATCTCTTATCTTTTAACAATTTTGCAGGTGTGGATTGGCTTTTTGCTACAATTGTGGAACTCCATCAAAGGACCATACTCATTATTGTTATAGTTGTAGGCATTGACAATACAACTTCTTATGGTGAATGATGTAACCCAATTCTCATCTTGGAAACGTCTAGATCTTTTAAGATTTCATCAATATGTTTAGGTTCTTTCGGAAATACATTGTGTGTATTCGGGTTCTTTTATCGTATTTGAGATCAATCGAGAAAGAGGGAAAAACATTTGGATCCTACATATTACTTATAATACGCTTCCTTCCAAAAATATTTTAAGCACAAATCGATTTAGGTTTGATACAACACATTCTCTTAGCACACTATGTTCTAGTATCCGATTTTCCAAGTAAATTTCCGTGGATGAAGTTTTATATCCTCTCTTAATGGCTTTTAAAACAAAGCAAGTCACCACATGACCTTCTCTGCAAGCAACAAGTTGTCATCAAGCATCATAAAGACCCAACTTAACGGGAGAACCTGAGGCACTGATCCAATCTCCTTGTAAGAAGGGCCCAACAGTATAGTTCAAAGCCTCCTCTTTGGTTATGAACTTAAATCCAGGCCATTTAACTCTTGAAGTTGTATCTCCACTTGATCCTTTGTTATTGTACTCCGCGTAGTACAGTGTGTCTATCGCGAAATCTGTCTCTTGCCATCTCAACCATCCAACAGGGTCAATCACATTCTCGATTTTAGATTCCATTATGATCGTTCGAGAGTAGTTCTTCCACGGTCTCCCGAGGTAGCTCTTGTACTCTTCCTTTACTGGCTTAAGGTCTTCATTTGCAGCGATTTTACAATTATGGACCACGAAACCAGTCGTCTGAAACTTGTCAACACGTCCTTGAGCGGTCACGGTGTTCTTTTGTCCTGGTAAACCTTTTCGGATGAAGATGTTACAGTTCTGGAAGATGGCAGCCGCATCTCCGAATATGAAGTCGATTGTACCGACTATCACACAGCTTCTGTAGTACTGACGGTGTGTGTAAGCGTACAATGTGTCTTGGTATCCTTCAAATCGGCAGTTTAGGAAAATTGATCTATCAGATTGGACACGTATTGCAACTGCTTGATGTCCTTCTGGCCCAGCCGTGTTCCGGAACCCCATTGACTGTGCCATAAACCCTTCTCCCTGTGCAACTATTAAAGGAAAACCAAACATTTAGAAAATTTAGTCTTGAAGTTTTAAAAGAGTTTTAACCTATAAATTTATAGGGTTTTTTTTTATCTCTTATATACCAACTTATTGTCAAGACAAATTTTCCAAAAGATTAGGGGTTTTACCGAACGTTGCGGTGAGAAAAGTGCGGATTTTCTTTGCGTGGCTTTTGTTTCCGGTCACAATTGTCTTTTGTGATCCATCTCCGACCATAGTGAGATTCGCCTTCTTCTTATCGACAGTCACAGATTCATCATAAATGCCTTGTTTGACGTAGATAATGTACCTACAATTTGAAATTACAAGGAAAACTTTAGTTAGTTTCTTAACCTAAACCTAACTCAAACATAATTTGACGTAATGATCACGTTATGAAATATTTTGGAATACGTACCTTCCCTCATATTTCTCAGGCATAGCTCTCAGAGCATCATTAATGGTTGTGAAATTTCCACTGCCATCTTTAGCTACAGTGGCATTAGGCTTCAACACCTTCACATCAACAGCCCTTAACATTCTTCTATCATCGTTGCTTACCCAAGACGGGATGTCATCAAGAAGATGTCGTGCTGCGACCTTCATTACCGGAGAGAGATTCGCGTTAAATGTTTTGATCAATGCGAGGGAATTGCTGGTCAGAACCTGTGAAGAATTGACGCTCGTTTTCACTTCAGATTTTAAGGTCCCTTCTTCAAACCCGTCAAGGCATGTCTCCTGATAAGACATGACCGCGCTTAGCCAACTTTCCAGGTCAGGAACTACCTTTGCGAAACTGTTGACTTCTGTGACGTTGATTTTGTTCAGGGACGCAACGGTTTCCTCCTTTGCGTCTTCCACAAGCAACTTACATTGCGCAATCGCATCTTTATCATCCTGGTTTTCAGTCTTGAGACTCAAGACCTTCTCTAAAACGCGGTCAAGGTCTACATTAACAGCTTCAATGGCAGACTTTAAAAAGGTCGTCGGATTGGCCAAAGCAAAACCCTTCTCTGTTCTGTTTTTGAGCGTTTCCTCGCAGGTTTGCTTGTAAAGCGTTGGACCGCAGATTGTTTGGATAATCTTATCACCCTGACCAGGTTTTACTAACTGCGCTGCGGAAACGGGAGCTTTTTGGCTCGGGCTTGGTGTGCTCTGGCTTGGTGGGCTCTGGCTTGGTGGGCTCTGGCTCTTCTTGTCGCTATCCTTGACGTTGTTGCCGCTACCGCTTTTGTTGTGGCTCTTCGCTTGTTGTTGTTCATTTCTTTTCTCATAAGCAACATAAGCAAAAGCTCCTCCAACAATAGCAGCAACAACCACAAGCAAAGAGACCGTTCCAACGATGATTCTCTTCCTGAATTTACGTTTCCTATTGGCGTTTACACGTTCTTGGATCTTGTCGAAATCCTGAAACGCCATATCGAACTTACTATAAATTTTCTGAAATTTTGTATAGTTTTTCTTGGGGAGAGAAAGAAATGAATCTCCTCTGCCTTAGAAGGCGGCTAAGGCAGAGAGGTTAAAAGGAAAGATCAAATCCTTTTTACGTTTTATTTTTGGCTCTTTCTTGTCTTCTCTCCCCTGTCTTCATTCCTTGGTTTCAGTTTTATTTGTTACTGTTTTGTTGCAATTTCTACAAATGAACATATCTGCTCTGGACAGGAGAGATTTGTGGGCTGATGTCAATTTTTAAAACTCGAAATTGAGCCTTCTAAATTTAGCAACCATTAATTTTTCGAATCTTATATATTGCTAGACTAGAGTTGTTGGTCAAAAATCAAAACGAAGTCAATTGATTTAGCAGCTTAGTATAAATGTTTATGTTTATGATAGAATCCAACTAGGGTTCTATTGAGATAGTTTTGATGGATGATCTTTATTAGTCTCAAACATCTCCTTTAAATAGGAATAGACCTTGGCAAATAAGCAAATCACAAAGGAAAATCTAGCAATAAGAAAAGACAATAAAACTAATACTCCCTCCGTTTCAGTTTAGTTGTCGTTTTAGGATTTAAATTTTGTTTCATAATAGTTGTCGTTTTAGGTTTTCAATGCAAATGTTTGGTGAAAATTCCAGTTTTATCCCTACTGTTTTAATGTTTTGGCCAATGAAATGTTTTATAAAATATATTAATAAAGGGTAAAACAGAAAATTTAATGCTTTTCTTAATTTGTGTGAAAAAACCTTAAACGACAACTAAAACGAAATGGAGGGAGTATTAAAAGACAATAATGAAATGTAAATATTCTTAACCCCTCTAATTAATTCGGTGTCTATATCAGTTTGGTGCTTTCTTAACCTTTTAGGGCGTAAGACCAATTAGGTAAGTGAGTAAGTGACCACATCACCAGACCCAAAAAGAGGCAACAACAATGGTTTTTGGTGGATGTATGCACACTTCAGAGTGAGCAAATGCCAATTTATCATCACGTGATGACTATTGCAGAGACACACTCGTGACTAGACGCAAACATTTTTTATTGGGAAACATCTCAAATCCCGTTTGAAAAGAGTTGTCACGGGAACAAGGAATAATTGAAAAACACAAAAACTAAAAACCAAATGTAATAGTATATTTGTCTCTTAATTATATCACCGAATTTTAGACGAATCCCTTATTGATACGTGTAATCTATTTTAGGTGAATGGTGTTGCAGTTGGACCAAGTACTTGTGCTATATTTTTATCACGTAAGTTAGCTCTAAAGATGTTTGGAGTGACTCAAGCGAGGATGATTGTCTTAGTTTGCTTTGCCTCACGCTAAGTAATTAAACTAACAACAACAACATTTTTCCACTATTAACAAATTTATATTAGAATATGGATCACAAAGACAATTTTCTTACATAGAGTCTATATATACTTTGGGGGCCTAGAGGCTTTATCTTGATTCTTCCTTGCAGAAATAGTAGTACTCTAGGTTCATTTGGTTTGCGAGATAGTATTGATTCACTATAGGAAGTTTCACTGTATGTGATTAGTGTATGGCTTTGATCATTGTGGTTCAAGGGAACTCGATTGGCAAGTCTAGATCTTTAGAGGTACTTTATTCTTAGTTTTTGTTTCGTCTTTTTTGATTTTTGACGCCGTTATTTAGTTTTCTTTGTTTGGGTTTAGTTTCCAGAGATATATTTGTCTTCTGCCAGTTTAGTTTCCAGAATGGTTCAACCAGGGCCGGCTCTAGGCATGACCAAAACCTAACCGTAACCGTATTTCGGACCGTAACCGGACCGTATCTCAACCGTAACCGGACCGTAACCGTATAAAACGGTTAAAAACCGTAACCGTTAACCGTAAAAATAAATTAGTTACGGTTAAAAAATATACTAACCGTAACCGTTAATTAACCGTAAACGTATCAAAACCGTTATTAACCGTACGGTTAACCGCACGGTTAACCGTATAGTTAACCGTGTAATTAAAACTTTAAAATTGTAATCGTAACTGTGTCTAATATTGAAAAGACAAATATCGAATGTCCAGATACAATTTTTCAAAAAAGTAAATGATACATTATATGACTAACTAAGTAGTAGATTGTGTTTTGGTGTTCATGTTTGACTGTCTAGAGTGAAAACACAATTTAATGAGGCGCATAATATTAAAAAATATAAAATATCATATAATCTGTTTGCTTAAAAAACTGACCCACGTTAAATACTTGAGCGAGTTTTGGAAAACTAATAACTAAGTCACCAACGTTTGCTTATGACCAAGTCTCACCTACGTAAACGTTGGCAACGTTTGTTTTATTTTGGCAACGTTTGTTTCATTTGAAAATTTCAAAGATTTTTTCCACTAATATAGTAACCACTAACCAGTTTTTCTATATATATATATATATTCCATTGTTCCATATGTTAAATCATTTCACAACAAAGATTATTTTTCTTTTGCTCTAGCCAACGTTGAAGAGTTTTATTTTGTCATACCTTTAAGTTTTTTTTTTTGTTTTTTTTTGGAAATGTCTTCGGATTCATTTCGATCTAATATCGGCACACCAATAGAAGATGTTCATAACTCAATACCAGCCACCAATACTCAAGAAAGTGCAACCGAAGAACAAGCTAACGTAAGCTCGGGAAAACAACGTCCGAATGCTTCCGATATTTTCAAGGTACACTTTCGAAAAGAAAAAATTGGTGAAAAAACGAAAGCATGTTGCAATTACTGCGATAGAAGTTTCTTTTGGAAATCGGGTTCAGGATATGGATCATATAGATATCATTTGGTTAACAAACATCCTGATAAATATGGTGGAGAAACTAGCCAAACTCCTAATGCTAGTCTTTCAAATTTTCATTATTCAGATAAGAAAAATCGAATAGAATTAGCAAAATGTGTTGCTGTTGACCATCTTTCATTTAGTTTTGGCGAGAAACTGGGTTTTAATAATTATTGCCAAAAAGCTTTAAATCCTCAAGCTAAGAGAGTTCCTCGAACTACTCTTACTCGTACACTAAAATCACTTTATGGAAAAACAAAAAAAGATTTAGAATATTGTTTTCTGGTTTACCAAATAATGTTTCCATATGCTCTGATATTTGGAGTGATCAGTGGCAAATACATCATTATATGGGCATTACTTGTCATTGGGTTGATAGTGATTGGATTATTCAAAAGAGAATTATTGCTTTTCGAGTTTTTGATGAAAGACATACATCCGATAATATTTTTAAATTAATAAAAATAATTTTAGAAGAATATAATTTAACAAACAAAATATTTTCTATTTCGTTTGACAATGCATCGGCTAATACTGCTTCTATTGATGAATTAATAAATAATTGTAGTCCTATTTTAGGTGGAAAATATTTTCATGTTCGATGCATTTGTCATGTTTTAAATTTATGTGTTCAAGATGGTTTATTGGTTTCTCAAAATAACCTTGTTTCACCGATTAAAAATGCTTTGAATTATTTATGGGGGCACCCACAGTTAATGAAAAAATGGTTTCGATTTTGTAAATTGCATAACGTATCTCCCAAAAGGTTTTCTCGAGATGTTCCTACTCGTTGGAATTCAACATATGATATGCTTGTTGATTCTATTGATTATAAAGATTTATTGTGTAGTTTTATTCAACAAAATTGTAGTTCTTTAACTTTATGGCCAACTCATTGGGATGATTGTAGTGCACTTTTAAAATTGTTAAAATGTTTTAATGATGCAACGTTTTTGTTATCTGGTGTTTATTATCCTACTAGTCATTTACTTTTATATGAATGTGTTAATATTGCTGATGTGATGCATGAACATGAAAATAATATTGTTTTATCAACATGCATACAAACTATGAGAGAAAAATGGATAAAATACTATAGGGAAATTCCACCTCTTAATTTGCTTGCATCCGTTTTTGATCCTCGAACTAAATTTGATACTTTGTATGATTACCTCATCGCATATTATGAATTATTGCCTTTGTCTGATAGTACTGATGTTCCCAGCATTATTTCAAACTTAAGAATAGACATAGAAAATTTATATGATGAATATTATAGAATATATCAGCATATGGCACCACAAGAAACTGAATCATCTCTTCAAACTAATATCTCATCAACTTCTAAGTTAAGTCTTGCAGAAAGAATGCGGCGACAGAAAAGGCAACGACCATCACAAGGTAATAATGCTGAACTTCAAAAATATTTATCTACTAACTTTGAGTTTAGTGATGCAGATGTAGGTAATAACTTTCAAATCATTCATTGGTGGAAGAGTCACCAATCTCACTATCCGATTTTGGCCATGATCGCAAAAGACGTTTTTTCTTCACCAGTTTCTACAGTTTCGGTCGAGCGAGCTTTTAGCATGGGAGGTCAAATACTAGATGAAACTCGATCAAGAATGAGTCCAGATTCTCTTGAAGCCCAAGCATGTCTTGATGATTGGACCAGGGCCGAATATAGACAACAAGAATTCCTTCGAGAAAATGAAGAAGATGTAGAAGATATTGATAGTGATCTATCGTCAACGAGATCAGAAGATAGTGACTAAATTTTTTATTTGTTTATTACGTATTTTAGCTAGATTAATAAACATCATTATAATTAATAAATATTAATTTTTTTGTTACTTCATTTTCCTAAATACATAATTAGCTCACGAAAAGAGTGCATTAGATGGTTTTGCCCACTACTAAATTTAAGCAATTCCACTAATCCACTATTCATTTTTCATAACAAATCATAAAATAGTATATATATATATATATATATATATATATATATTACTAAGATTTCACCTCCGATATTAACCGTATTGTAATAATTAAATAATCGTAACCGTATTTAACCGTAACCGTTCTAACCGTAACCGTGTTTAACCGTAACCGTTTTAACCGTATATATAATGGTTAAGGTTACAGTTAGAGAAAATTTATAACCGTAACCAGTGGTTAATTAACCGTAACCGCAATAACCGTAACCCTGGTCATGCCTAGCCGGCTCAACAATTTCATGGGCCCTAGGGCAAAAAAAAAATTTGTAGCCTTAGAATTTTTTTTAAATGTTTTTTTGCTGAAAAAAATTTTAGTATACTATTTTTATTTAAAAAATTAATTATTTATACTAAAAGCAATAAATAAAAAATTTATACTAAATTTTATTTTTATGTTGTAATCTAATTTTTTAATACTTTTATTAAAAAAAAATTTAAAATGGACCCCTTAATAATTAGAACACGGGATTGGGCCCCTGGCCGTCGCACCGCCAGCCCTCCTATCTGAGCCGGCACTGGGTTCAACCCTTACCGACTTCGTGTATTAAAACCGTATCCCACCCTTGTATCTTCAATTGAATTATAATAAAGTTTGACTCTTTCAAGTAAAAAAGACTAATATATATACTTTGATAAGTTTATTAAATTATTGATAATTTATGATATTGATGAGAGACTATATAGTTTACACAGAGTTTTCAAAGAATTTATTATGTTATTATATTATCGAATTGTGTTGAATATTACACTTGGGCAAGACAAATTTATAGTGATTAATTATTAATTTAACAAGTATTAATTTAAAAAGGTTATACTGTATTATAAGAAAACAATTAAAGTTTCACTTTTACCTTTTTATTAATACAGAATATCGATTTTTCATTGGTTAATACATCCGAAAACAAGGATAAAACATAATATTTTAACTAACGTCTACATTGAAAATATAAAATTCGAAAATAAAATTTCTAATTTTAAAAGGACATAATTTGAAACCGAAAGAATATTTTTTAAACATTTGGAGTTAACTTCACCGTCTTCATAGAAAATAAATAAGCGATTGGAGTCTGACAACAGAACACAACTTGTCAAGTTTGTATTAATTTAAAGTCTTGCAAGTTTCAAAAAGACATGGTCGCATGGGTTTCTCCTTCTTAAAGTGGAAACTCAGATAAAGCCAAGAAAGACATGCTCAGACTTTTCAAGAAAGATACATCTTTTGCCAGCTTATATAATTAATACACAGCTAACTCAAACCATAGAATTATTTAGAACTTTATTTATTTATTATTGTAATTAGACATTTATATGAAGACAACTCTCTATACATTTGTAGAAGAAAAGTTGTTAAATTCCATTATCATAAGGGAATGAAGTACTGCCCAACCAACCATCACCGGTGATAAACTCTGTTGCCGTGAAGTTAAAGGCATCTTCGTAACCCATAATGTGAAAACCCGGCCAGTTAACCCGTTTACCCGTTTCAGAACCCGGCCCGTTATTGTTATACTCCCCATAGTAAAGGGTATCAAGTTCTTCGCCACCGTTCCATCTGCTCCAACCCGAACCGTCAATAAACTCATCAATATAAGATTCCATTAGAACCGTTCTTGAAAATTCTCTCCACGGACGTCCCAAGTAGCTCTTTACTCTATTTGAGCTGTTAAATAAATCATCCGATGCAAGGATGGAGCAGTTTTGCATCGAGATCCCGGTGTCTTCGTCGGGACTGTCTCGTGATTGAGCAGTTACTACAGTGAATTGTCCTGGCATAGGCAACTTTGAAACGATGTTGCATCCCTGGAAGACCACGGCCGCGTTCCCAAAAATATAATCAATGGTTCCATAAATATCGCATTCGCGGTAGAATTGTCGGAATGAGTGGGTGTAAAGTGTGTCCTGGTAACCATCAATGACACATCGGTATAAGGCCACAAAATCCGCGTTCACACGTAAGGCAACCGCTTGGTGCTTCTCGGGTCCTGCTGTGTTCGTTATCATCATGTCCCTCGCCAAGAATCCTTCGCCCGAAACCGCTGTGACAAAAGCAAGTTTGAGAACCATTACAATCTTGACTTAGTACCAACAACTTAAGCTGTCGACAAGTATTAAATTTTTGTTGCAATAACTATACAAAATTACTGATTTTTTTATAAAGGAACTATACAAAAATTCGTTTACAACTTTTTTTCACCTTTTGTTTTTAAAACCACGATTGTAAGATTTAAAATGTTGCTTTTTAATTTCATAAAAAAAATTAATAATTATTGAAAATTAAATTCTACGGTCCTAATTGACAAAACAAAATGCAAAAATTCTACGGTCCTAAGTCTAGACAGACTACACTATGCCCCAAACAATATTACCACTTGAGTTTTGTTTTATATAAACAAGATTTTAAAAAGAGTCAAAGATGATTACCAAGTGTAGCAGATCGGAAAGTGGTCCATCCATCTCCTACACTTCGGTTTCCGGTAATAAATGTAACATCGGATCCATCTCCGATCAGAACAATATTAGTCTTGTAGATCGGAATCTCAATGTTCTCGTCATACACACCTTCCCTTACATATATCAGCACCCTGTCGTTACTCATATCCGGAGCAAAGCTTATGGCCTCGTTAATGGTCGAAAAATTCCCTGTTCCATCGGCAGCAACCACGATGATCTCACTCGGGTCGTACTCATCATACCCGTCACTAGAATCTTCTAAAAACCGGTGATCTTTCTTAGTGATCCAGTCAGGAAATAACCCAAGTAACCGGCGGTTATTAGTCTTGCCGCCGGTTTTCGGATTTGTGGCTCTTCTCTGTTTTGGTAGAGCGGAGAGGGAGTTGCTTACGTGTTTGTAAGTTTCCGTGAAGGAGGTCACGAGCTTTGGCTTTAGAGGACCAGAGGCTGTATCAAGACCTTCTAAGCAAGTGATCTTGTTGGTGAGAGCGGCGCTCAGGTACGCTCTAGCGTCAGCTAGCTTTCGTGAATCGTTGACACCGTCTTGGATCTTGGAGATTGATCGTTTCAAGAAGGAAGAAGTTATCTGGTGAAGATCTTTGCAGTCTTGAAGAGAGCCACGTTGTCCCTCAACGAGGTTGTTGGAGATTCCAGCTCCGGAAAGAAGATCGGTGAGTTTTCCGGCCTCGGAAAGAGCTGTTTGGAGGGTTTGAAGGAGGAAAGAGAGAATGTTGGGGCTAATGTTGATGGAGATGGAGAGTTTTAAAGAGTCGAAACATGCATTTGGATATGGTGTGTTCATGCAGAAACTTGTTAGAGAGGTTTGATTAGGTTTTAGAGAACTCGATACAACCAAGGGAGTGAAGAGGAGAAAGAATAGAAAGGAAAGGTTGAGAGTGGAGAGTGCCATTGGAGAAGAAAAAGTTGAAGCAAATGGTAAAGAGAGTGCTGTGTTTTTAAATGCAGAGAGGAATGGGTTTACTTCATGTTTTGTTCCGTATAGCGACAAATCAAATATGAAATATCTATAATTTGGGATATTTTCTACCGAAAAATTCCATCGAAAGTCTTTAAACAATTGACTGAAGTGTTCAGAGAAAACGATGTGCCTGTTTGCCGTGTAACTTGGTTTAGATTTTTCTAAGAAATTATTACAAATACTAGTATAAATATTGAATGGGATTTTTTAAATGTGAGAAACCGATCTAATATTTCTTAAATTTCTCAAATAAGAACTATTAGATGGGTTTCTCACATTTAAAGAATCTCATTTAATATTTACTATAATTTAACCCGCGGTACACCGCGGGCTATATTTTTTAAAAAAATGTAATGTTATTTTTTTAAAGATTAAATGAAAATATATCATATTAATTTGTATTTTAAAATGTAGATATCTATCTATGTATTATTTAGTGTATGATTACTATTGTTTAGGTTTCAATTTTTGAAGTATAGATATGAAAACATACATTTTTTTAAATAACGATGTATAATGGATTTTAAAATTTAGAATATTTTACTCTGCGGTATACCGTGGGTCGATTTTTTTATAACTAAAAATTTTAAATTTTAAGTTGTATTTGTTTTGTTAATATTGTTTGTTTTGTTTTGTTTTGTGTTTAAGGTTGTATAATTGTATTTTGATTGTTAATTTTAGGATTTCATCCATGATATACCATTCTTTATTAATATCGACCCAAACCCGTCTATATTATCCCGTTAGCTAAATTATTAGTGTTATAAAATCCAAGAAAATAAATTATTATTGTTATAAAATCCAATAATTTTAGGATCTCACCCGTAGTATACCGTTTCTTTAATGACTTTAAATTTATACTACTAATATATATTTTAAATTGGGAAAAATGTCGAAAAATGCGCCAACTTTCAAATTTGGGACGATTAAAGCATGAACTCTTAAAATGTTACTTTAATCACAAAGATTTTGTTGACTTTCCCATAAATAGCTAAGTTTTCGTTGACCTGGCCAAATTAGGCATCGCGTTAAGTCTCCGTTAGAACGACGTTGACGCTGTTAACTTGCCATTTTTACAGTCACCGTTTAACCAAAACGACGATGTTTTCTTCAGAGACTGAATTGTCTCTGCTTCTGCTGGGCTCTTCTCCGATGGCATCGACGCCGCTTCAATCTCCGATGGTATCGACGCCGCTTCAATCTCCGATGGTATCGACGCCGCTTCAATCTTCGATGGTATCGACACTGCCTCACTCTTCGACGGGTTTTGAATTATCTCCGATTCTTCTGGGATCTCAATCGTCTTAGGTTCTCGATCGTTTGCTCTGCCTTCTTCCTCTACCAAAGCCAGCAGCCTCCACGACCGACGAGGATTCCAATTTCCTCCATGCGTCTTCACTATCGGGATCTATAAGCAAGAGAAAGAGAGAATTTGGGTTTTTTTTTCTATGGTTAGGGATCGATTTGGGAATGTAATCGATTTGGGGGTTTTGACATTCTTCTCTGATTAAAACAATGACGTTTTCGTTTTACAAAAACGTCGTCGTTTTGGTTAAACGGTGACTGTAAACGAAAAGTTAACAGCGTCAGCGTCGTTCTAACGGAAACTTAACGCGATGCCTAATTTGGCCAGGTCAACGAAAACTTAGCTATTTATAGGAAAGTCAACATAAACTTTGTGATTAAAGTGACATTTTCAGAGTTCATGCTTTAATCGTTCCAAATTTTAAAGTTGGCGCATTTTTCGACATTTTTCCCATTTTAAATTTTATCATATCAAGTATATGATTTCAAGTTTTTGTGTTTTTTTTTATTTATTTAAATAAAGCAATAGCTTAAATGATGATAGATATAGTTCTTTTTCTTGTATGTATATATGATTTTTCTATGTGAATATTTTGATTATTATAAATTAGTATTTTTATTGCTATGCAAAATGTTAATATAAACTAGATTTTAACCCGCGGTACACCGCGGGGCTATATTAAAAAAAATGTAATTTTTTTAGTAGATTAATTATATATATGACCTAATTGTTGGTGTCGGATCCCGCACCAGTGGTCCGGGACCAACCAAAGATTGCCACGAAGGCAGAAGGGAGGCCCATAAGGAATAAGGCCCATGGGATCTTCAAGTCAAGAGTAAAGATACGGGCGAAATGGTCATGCCGCGAGGTGGAAAACGAAATCGAAGACCAAGGATGGTCCATTTCGGGATTTATGGGTTTAAAGGCGAAGCCCATGAAGGACGAAGTCAAATCAAATTCGAACGATGAGCATTAAAACTCAAAGACTGAAACGGCTACATTTAAGAGAGAATAATTGTATTTAATTAGGAATCAAATGTCGTTTGTTAGTATAAGTAAGAGGGCCAAGGGCCATGTAAAGGACACGCGATTTTTCTAGCAAATATACTATAGCCATTTCCATAACAATCCATAGCTTTTTGCATATCAATTTTTGTCCTCAAGAATAATCTTTCCCACTAAATAAACAAATATTTGAGTGTGTGAATCCGACGTCCACATTTTGGCGCCGTCTGTGGGGATACAAGATTCTTGAGTTGTCAGATTTTCTTCACTACATTTCCGAGATAAGCAGCAATGTCGGGAGGAGACATCCTTGACACATCAGTGGCTGAGACTCTCAAGGCCATGCAGCAAACCATGTCGGAAATATCACAGAAGTTCTCAGATGTGGAAAAGGCCGTTGACACATTAAAAACAACCCAGGTATCTCTTAGTCAAAACGTCAATACTATACAATCTCGTGTTCGTTCTCTGAGTGCAGAAAACCCTGTGGGAGTCCGAAGAAGGATGTTCAATTCGCCAAGCTCCCTTGCGAGAAACAAAACCAACGAACAAACAACTCCTGATACGGTAATTCAGCCGGCGGACGGAGAGACGCAGCTCGGAGATGAAGATCAGCTTGTTGATCAGTACGAGCAAGAAAGCCTCGACCAGTTCGAGACCATGAGAAAGGTTAGCCAGGAACTAAAAGAAATGAAATCAAAGTTCCACCAGGCTACTAGTTCGGAGCCGACTATCAACCGAGTCATTGAAGAAGCCATGCGAACACCTTTTATCCCGCGAATCGCGAATTTGAGAATCAAAGATTCTCGGAAACTCAAACTGGATCCCTACAGTGGATTGGAAGATCCAAAGAGCTATCTCGCAGCCTTTTTGATTGCCGCTGGACGAGTCGAATTGGATGAAGCTGATGAGGATGCAGATAGAACCAGGTTCAATCAATAATTTTGACGAGCTTTCGACTGTGTTCTTGAAACAATATTGTATCCTTATGGATAAAAGCGTTTGGGACGCCGACCTTTGGAATCTTTCACAAGGGCCGAATGAATCACTTCGAGTTTTCATCACCAAGTTCAAGGGGGTGCTATCAAAGCTCCCAACAATTTCGCAGCAGTCAGCTTTATCTGCCCTACGAAAAGGTTTGTGGCATGATTCAAGGTTCAAAGAAGATCTAATACTTCACAAACCGGATACAATGCAAACAATTGGATGGAAGTAGAAGACGAAAAAGAGAGTTTTGCGAAAAGGAACAAACAAGCGAGAAACCAACGGTCACCTTCCCTACCAAAAAGTTTGAGCCTAAGGAAAACCAAGGACCAAAAAAGTTTGGATCGCAACCCCTCAACAATACCGTCGGAAAGCAATTCCAAGGAAAAGGAAAGTCGAACACTTGGGTCCGTGACGAAAGTTTGTATTGTGACATCCATAAGGTAACCGGGCACTTAACCAAAGATTGTAGTGTCCTCAAAAAGCATCTCGCGGAGCTGTGGGCCAGTGGAGATCTTCCCAAATTCAAGATAAAGGATTTCGTGAAGGAATACCATGAAGCAATAGATAGCACTAAAGATCAAAACTCCAAAAGACCAAGGTTGTCCAATGAAGAAGAACCAAGGAGTTCGAAAGGAAAAATTAATGTAATCCTTGGAGGTTCCAAACTTTGCCGGGATACGATTAGTGCCATTAAGAAGCATAGGCGAAATGTTTTACTTAAAGCAAGCTTGGGCGAAGAAGTTGACTTTCAAGGTGCATCAATATCATTCGACGAGGAAGAAACACGTCACCTCGAAAGACCTCATGATGACGCCCTAGTCATTACCCTAGACGTTGCCAACTTCGAAGTGTCAAGGATTCTCATCGATACGGGCAGTTCGGTCGATTTAATCTTTTTAGGTACTTTGGAAAGAATGGGAATTAGTCGGGCAGACATAGTGGGACCCCCGTCTCCTTTAGTGGCATTCACAAGTGAGTCAGCCATGTCTCTCGGAACGATCAAGCTACCAGTTCTTGCCAAAAAGGTGTCAAAAATCGTAGATTTAGTTATTTTTGACAAACCGGCAGCCTACAACATCATCCTCGGGACTCCATGGATTTATCAAATGAAGGCAGTCCCCTCAACATATCATCAATGCATTGATATGTCTATAATTTGCATGTTTTACACATCCTTTTATCACCATTTTGAGTCTAGTTTCATTCATCTTTCATAGCATTCATCATCATTTTGCACATTTTGCATGTTTAAGTGTGTCTAGCATTAGTCTTGCATGCATTTTGCATTCTGGAGTTGTTTCAGGTGCTTCGGAGCTATTGGTGTTCAGAAAGAGCAAAAACAGAGCTGCAAGTCACATTTGGACCACTCTACTCGATCACCAGTAGCAGAGAGGGAAGCAGTCAGCTCAGCAGTCCATCCAGACTGTTCTACTCGATCACAAAGGAAGAGAAGGAAGTCCATCCTGACAGTCTACCCACATACTCGATCGCAGGGTTGAAGAAGCAGTCCAGATCCTGCCATCAACCAACCTACTCGATCACAGGAGAGAAGAAGCAGCCCAGACCCTGCCACCAAC